TTCGTCCCTTTATATGGAAATCTCTCCAGCAAGTGATGGTAGAGACATGCCGTGAAACGCTCGGTAACAGTGCGCTTCGAGCCGTAGCCGTAGAGGCAGATATTGAAGCCTTCGTCAAGCTCGAATATCCACTGATCATACGCTCGACCGTGTAGCTCCAACAAGAAGTCCCTTTCGGGTTCATGGGGATCCTGATAGGTTTGTATCGTTTGGAAGAACTCATCGTGGTTGAGCAGGGTTTGTGCGGACAGCGTGTTATTCGATGTTTTCGTTCCAGCCGGGCGGTTCTGCCAAAAGTATATCTCATGTGGGGGAAGTTCGGTCGGGGGAGTAGGAGAACGCTGCCTTTCCTTTCGCGGTCGCCCTACTGGTCGCCCTCCTTTTCCAGAGCCCTTCGGTCGCCCTCGTCCTCGCTTCGAAGGCGTCTCCGGTACTGGCACGTTGTCTTCCTGCGCGGCTTCCTCTTGTGCGTGGTCGGCTACCTCGTCTTCTTCCTCGCCCAGTATCTGTTCTGCTAGTATCTCATCCTCTTCCAAAGCTTCGTCGTCGCTATCAGCACCATTCAACGTGCGCTCTAGCATACGCCGGTTGCTCTTTCTGCGCGCGCTTCGGTCCGCGTTGCGAACGATGGCTGGAGTGCCATTTGGCGTCTCATCTTTCCCCGACTTGGTCGGCGTCTCGAAGACGAGCTTTCTTGAGGATCTCGGTGTATCATGGACAGCGTCGGCTAAACGACTCTTCTTCAGAATAGATCGTGGTGTTCCGTCCTCTGCAAGCTGGAGCGTCCTGCCCCTTCTGGACGGAGTCTGCGCTTCGAAGAGATCCTGCTCATCGGGAGCCTCATCTGCAATTCGAGCGCGCAGCTTTCGTGGGGTGCCGTCGTCTGTATCGTCATCGTCGCGTCTGCGCTTCGTGCCGACCATGTCGCAAACAGCTTCGTTGCTGGAAGCGCGATTGCATTACGGGGTTGACGCGACTTTTGGCGACGGTTTGAGCTTAGCGCCGTGTGTGGTAGCCAGTCGCGGTTTCCTTGTTCCGAACATTCAGCATTCACCACTCCACCGGAGCATATGCGAACACTAGTGGCTCGTACAGCTCAAGCCTCAGATGGCTGGCCACGGCCCGTATATAAGCGCGTGATTGCTGCCTCCCCGTAATCGATGTCACGCCGTGGTGGGAGCACTGTCAAACCTGACCATGTTGTGAATCACATCTCCAGGCAGATGATGGCCCTGTCAGCGTCATGTGAAGACATGTCTCGGCGGAGGACGTGTGAGGCTGAGACATAGTGAATAGGTAGCGGCAAGGGCCCCGTGGAGCATGTCCTGTAGGTATGGGCTGGCTACTCTGGGCCTAGACTGGACGGGGTGAAGGCGGTACTTTCACGGTCATGATCTCACTTGCATGCCGGGCGTCCCTGGACAATTTCCTCTGCTGCGTCGGGCCTTCGTCCGCAAAACAGCCCCGCAGCCGCACTCGATGGCCAAATCTCAGCTCCCGCATCTCCAGCCATTCCTCGACCCCAACACCACACCATAGCACCCCGTTGACGCACGCGCAATTGATCCCGCGACCCGAGCCTTTTGACCTCGCTCTCGGCCTGCCGTCGCCCTGCTGCGACACGACGGCCCAAAGACGCCGCGCGGCGCATCGCGGGGTTTCCTGGACACAGCTTCGGTTTCCGGCCAGCAGATGCCAGTATGGAACCCAGACGGCGGCCCGAGTACAACCTCGACATCTTCGCGGACGCGGCCTGTGTGCAGGAAGTCGTGAAGGGTCAGTTTCCCCCTCTCGTCTGGATTCCCGCGCGACGCCAACTTTCTCACCCCACCATCCGCAGCCCTCGCCCCGAACCCGCCGCGAACCGTGACTGACATGCACGACAGCAATACTCCATACTATATTCTTCCACCGATACTTTACCTCGATATCTCCCCTGACTCACGATCTGCTCGACCTCACCCTCCCGGCCATCGATGATGTCGACCTCGAAACGCTTATTGAGCAGAAGACGTGGGCCTTGGTCCGGGCAATAGACAACACGCATCAGCCGAGAGGGAGAGCACAGATAGCGGTGCAGTTCTTCGAGAAGAGGAGGAGAAAGACGTACTTCTCCTTTGGCAAGGCAGACGAGGATGTCTGCTGGGAGCAGTGGACGCTGGACGTTACGCTCGCGCAGCCCCGGACCGAGACTGGTATGTCGACGATGCTATGCACTGCATCAGCAAGCAGCGTACTGACCAAGAACTAGACGTCCTCAAGGTCCGCCGTGCCATGACCAAATCCCTCGAGAAGGCAGCCCTCAAGATCATCGCTATCGTGAATCGCGACAAGGACCACATCCCACCTATCACAACCACCGACGCCAACCCGTTCCCCTACCAGATTGTCGTCAACCCGAAAGCTGTGAGCGAGAACGAGTGGAGACCGCGAATGGGCCTGTTCTGAGCTCAGTCACCACAACGACGGGCGACGGTTAGATATGACTGTATATACACCACGACATTATAATGAGTACAAGGGGGTTCAACACCACCTGGAAATAATGAATGTCGCCTAATCGACTCAAAAGAGACGGAAAAGTTATGGGATTGTTGGCCAGACTATGGCGTTATCGGCTCTCCTAGTGCTCATGTCACCGCACCACGAAAGCCCCCAATTGTACAGTGTCCGCTATGTCGGACAAACCCTATCACCGGACGATATTACGAACACACGCAGAAAGATTCAACGCCTCGCAATTTTGTTCGCTCGTCTGTCTTTTCTGATTTATTGTTGCTCTAGCTACACAAGATACCCCTTTCCCCAATGAAATTCTATCCTACTGAAATTAATGTCAACGACGTTTCACAAGATGCCATACCTGACAATATGTGTAGATGGTTGCCAGGAACTCCAACCTCACGGTTAGGTATATGTACATGACGACAAGAATACCTCAACGGTGCGCCACAATCGACGTTCAAGCATAATAAGCCGAACTGGTAATCGTAGCCGTCGACGCCGCACACGCCGAAACAGACGTACTCGTAGCAACCGGCACTGAACTCTCACTACTCTCACTCGCCTTCCGACAAAACTCATCCCGACTCTCTTCCGCATCCGGATTTGGCGCAGCTAACGGACACCCTTGAAAACAATCCAACGTCACTGAATACGCCCTACACATACACACATTATCCTCATCCCCCGTACACGCCCCCAGCAGGCCTAAAAGCCCCGTCAAACAATCTGCTTGGCAGGGATCGGCCGCTGCAGCGCAGTACGCGTCGAGTTGGTCTTGCACGTCGGGTTGCTCGGGGGATAACGGGCAGATGTCGAAGCAGGTGAGCTTTTGGGCGTAGGTGGTGCAGAGGCAGGTGTAGTCGATGGGGCCGAGGTTGGAGTTTGTGCAGGTGTCGATGAGAGGTTGGTAGGTAGTTAGGCAGGTTTGGAGCTGTGTTTCGATGGTTGGGGGCAGGTGTTGTTTTGGGGTTGGAGCGGGGAGAGAGAAGGGGGGGGGTTTGTTCCTGCGAGGAGGGGGGACACGATGGATGATGAGTGCATCGCGGTGAAATGTTGGAGAAGACGACCTAGTGATTCGGTGACTTGGTTGCTTGGTCGCGCAGGTACTTGGTACGATGAAAATTTACTTTGAACAGTGAGTGTTGAGTGCGTTCCAAGGGATCGTTGTCGGAAGAACGAGTAAGTGGTGGAACTAGTAAGCCTATCAGCGATGCACCTTGGTGTCTTTATACGATGTGCCAACCACAACACACAAGATAGCAATGGGGGTATCTACCCGTCTGATCATACTTGTCGATAATCGGGCGTAGCACAACTTGCTAGCGCCTGAACATCGAAGTCTTCCCATCTCAGCCGTGAATACGATGTATCCATAACACCATACTCTGGACTCTGCAAGCTGCCCCGACCAATAACGGTACAGCGCACAGCTTACCTCGTAATCTGGTGCATTGAGATGAGCTGTCAACTGAGGCTGAAGAACAGCCATATCCGTCAGTAGGCATCTTGGTATCTTTGGTTGAACAGGTGTTCAGGAGTAGACGGTCAGAGTTTTTTTCATCGGCTTGGCTGTTACACAGATGATGTACGCGGGGTCTGTGAAAGACTTCAGCTTGGTGGCTCACCGATGGTGGATACGATCGCATCTAAGACGACCAAAGTATGCACAGCCAGTGAACAAAGTCTAGAGCATATGCAATCGAAGCCATGGGAGACGCTTCGGTACGATATTATGCTTGAAGTCCTTGCGATACCCGTCTTGATTGCTTCGTTATGATGTCAGGTTAGCTTTGGGGGTTGGATATACTGCCTGATCCCCTTCTACTGCCACTCGGATCCGATCATTGTGTACCCAATAAGCCATGCACAAGCACATGTAGTAAGTCATCGTGACCACGACAGAATGTGCTCTCTCACGGGGTTGCAATGGAAACCATGGTTTACAACAAGATGATATGTAGTAATGCAGCTGAAAGTTTCCTCACTAAATTTATGTCTATTTCTGTCGCTCCCTCAGAAAGAAAGATTGTGGGAGTGTGTGGATCCAGGTCAATACACAATCAATACTGACCGCCCTATTCATGTTGTTAATACATGCTTTCATCTGATGTCTTCCGCTTTCTCCTGTCTAAATTCCAAGTAGATTAGCACAGACACAAAACATTTCCAGAGTCCACATGTTAGTAAGTGTCCTGGAGAGTATTGCATGGTGTACATAGAGAACAACGAGCTCAGTAGTCAACGAGTTGCCGATTCAAACTCAGAAGCAAAGTGTTGAAGTCCCACATGCACTATAAATATCCCGGCTGATACCGGCCGGTGGCGCTTATTCGTGAAATCTCTTCAACCCCCCACCATTAAACCAACCATATTACAAGTCCCACTCAGCGTACTCTGCACAGTCTTTGAGCCTTCTAGTGCTGGCTGAAAGGTCCGTCGTTGATAACTATATAAAGGTTTTGACTGGAAAATTAAGCAAAATCACATGTAACAACGGTCGGTTAGCTCAGTTGGTTTAGAGCGTGGTGCTAATAGATCTGTCCTTGATACGCCAAGGTCGCGGGTTCGACCCCCGTACTGACCATTCTGTGATTTCTTTTTGCTGCTGTGTGATGGTTGATGTTGTGCTGAACTCAGGGGGAGTGGGAGGCCATCTCATGTAAGTTGGGATGGTGAGCTCAGACTCCCGCACCAACCAACATTTGTTTTTGCGCAGGCGAGAAACGATACGAAAACACACAGTTGCCGCTGTCCATCTAAGTCGAGTCTTTAAAGCCATAAAACAGCAGTAATAAGTAGAAGAAAGTAGTAAAAAAAAGTCTATGTATTCATCTAGCACTCCTAATAAGAGGAGGTAGGCTTACAGTTTTTTTATTATAACCTTCTGTAAGGAGTCATGTTGATGTTTTATACTGCGAGCCTACTGGCTTTAAATCTGGGGATTTCTTACGTACGAGAGCCATCGAAGTGGTTTTTGTTTATTGTATATGTGGTACCTTGTGTCTGACGGAAGTATTTGCGTTCAAAATCCGAGTATATCGATGGAGAAACGCAAGTCACTGCTATTCGATCAACCATGTATAATGACATCGCAAATGTCAGAGTCCAAATGTCTATTGCTAGCATCAACTTCATGTACAAGTACAATATCTTGATCTGGATGAACACAAGGTGCACCACTGAAAGGCGAAAGCGAGATACACTAGTACTAAAGCCGCTTAAACCCGACTGAAAACCCACTCAACCCGTGACTCCACATTGGGAAAGCCTCAACTTCAAGATTCGCCAACCACAAACGGCAACACGCGATATACCCAAATATAGCCAGTATGGCAACTATTACAGTGACAGAGACGCAACACAAGAGAAGGCTGCCGAAAAATGTCAAGTTACCACCTGAGAATGAGCGGTACATGCGCGCATGCGCAGATATCGCCTCAGCGCTCATCCAGGACTATGAGGGGCAAGCAGATGGCTCGAAGCCGAAGAAAGACCTGAATTTGAATAGATTGAGAGGCGAGATCGCGAAAAAGCATTATCTGAAAAGCCAACCGCCGCTGACGGCGATTATCGCGGCGGTGCCGGAGCACTACAAGAAATACATCTTGCCGAAATTGATTGCAAAACCTATCCGTATGTTATCTAGGATAATGCGACAAGCCATTTTGGGCCATTGTTAACATTTGTGTAGGCACATCATCAGGCATCGCAGTTGTAGCAGTCATGTGCAAACCTCACCGCTGCCCTCACATTGCCTACACCGGCAACATCTGTGTCTATTGTCCGGGCGGCCCAGACTCAGATTTCGAGTACTCAACGCAATCTTACACAGGCTATGAACCAACTTCTATGCGGGCCATCCGGGCGCGGTATGACCCGTACGAACAGGCTCGAGGCCGTGTTGACCAGATCAAGTCACTTGGTCATAGTGTTGACAAAGTGGAGTACATCATCATGGGCGGCACGTTCATGTCGCTACCGGAGAGTTACCGAGACGAATTCATCAGCCAGCTGCATAATGCACTTTCAGGCTATCAGACGAAAGACGTGGACGAGGCTGTTGCGGCTGGTGAGATGAGCAACATCAAGTGCGTGGGTATCACGATCGAGACACGGCCGGACTACTGCCTGGACCAACATCTGTCATCGATGCTGCGTTATGGCTGCACACGACTGGAAATTGGAGTTCAATCTCTTTACGAGGACGTAGCGCGCGACACGAATCGAGGGCACACTGTTGCCGCGGTCGCAAAGACCTTCTGCCTCTCTAAAGACGCCGGATTCAAAGTCGTCTCTCACATGATGCCCGACCTGCCCAATGTAGGCATGGAGCGCGACCTCGACCAGTTCGTGGAATACTTTGCAAATCCCGACTTTCGAACTGATGGACTCAAAATCTACCCCACACTCGTCATTCGCGGCACAGGACTTTACGAACTTTGGCGAACAGGCCGCTACAAGAACTACACTCCCAATGCACTCATCGACATTGTGGCTCGTATCCTCGCTTTAGTTCCGCCATGGACACGTATCTACCGCGTACAGCGTGATATCCCTATGCCGCTCGTCACCTCTGGTGTGGAGAACGGCAACTTGAGAGAATTGGCTCTAGCAAGGATGAAAGACTTCGGCACCACATGTCGTGATGTGCGGACACGCGAAGTCGGCATCAACGAAGTAAAGCACAAGATCAGACCCGACCAAGTCGAGCTTGTGCGGCGAGACTACACTGCAAACGGAGGCTGGGAGACGTTCCTCGCGTACGAGGATCCTAAACAAGATATTCTCATTGCACTCTTGCGGCTGCGTCAGTGCTCGAAAGAGCATACCTTCAGACCCGAGCTCGTTGGCCAGCCATCGTCACTGGTTCGCGAGTTGCACGTCTACGGTTCGGCAGTGCCGGTGCATGCAAGAGATCCGAAGAAGTTCCAGCATCAAGGCTACGGTACGCTGCTGATGGAGGAGGCGGAGCGGATAGCGAGGGAAGAGCATGGAAGTAGTAAGATCAGTGTCATTTCTGGCGTTGGTGTACGGAGTTACTATGGGAAGTTGGGTTACTCGCTTGATGGCCCGTATATGAGCAAGACTCTTCAACCTGACTGGGAGAGGGAGTGGTAGTGAACAACTTATGGGACTAAAGATAGAATGAAAATGCATTGCTGGCGTTGGGGTTTGGACTATGACGCATTGATGAGGGGATGCGTACAACGCGCAGAATTCAATACAATTCTACCAAGCCTAAATCGATCAAGCCGTGCCCTGAACGCCATATGCTATACTATGTAGGTGCGAATCTGCTCCATCTCGGCGAGCGTATAGCCCCGCGATGGGGCGCAGAACTAATCATTACGAACCATTCTTCTCTATGTATTATACTCGAACTGTGTGATTTACATTGTCGATGATCATGACAGACTGATCGCGCCACGGCGGCTTTCGCGCATGTGAAGGAAGGCTTGTAGTCCACAGAAGACGAAGAAGCCCTGTGAAGGATTAGCTCGGACACTAACAACACGCAACGCAGGATCGGTCGTACGATATATATGAACACGGCTCCAAACACTGCACCAGCTACAGCATTGCCGTCCTTGGGATCTTCTTCTGTGCCCATAACCATGTGGTTATTTCCCTTGAACAGCGATCCGATGACGGAGAGAATGACGATGGCGAATAACGACACGACAATGCTAGACTTCCGTCAGCTTTACCCTATCTCTGTATACCCGCGTAGGAGCCGTACCATGTCCACGCATTCCCAGCAGAAACAACGGGCTTCACCATGGTGGGCGAGTTGTGCGTTCGGCGTCGCTCGGAGGCGGGTAGCTTATCGGCGGCGGCGCTTCGGGCGCAGGTTCAGCAGACAGCTTGCGCGTAGGATATGCGTCGGTGAGTGCGGGCGAGAGTATTATACGGATATTAAGAGGTATGTTGGAGCTGGTCGCGGATGGTGGCAGTGTTGAGGTCGTTGGAGGTGCCCGGTAGATCGTCATGTCTTGCCGTTCGAGCCCTTGGCGGCATGGGGGATCGTCCGTGCGCTGCCTGACGCAAGCAGCTCTTCACGCGTGAACTGCGATGTCTTCGCTTTTCCTCACGACGATCAAGTGTATTGGAATGACATAGTTCTCCAAATGTAGGGCAGAGGCGCACCTAGTCTCATGACTGTTTCGATGGTATCGATAAGTTGGTATAGCCTTAGGTGAAGGCCGGACTGGGCAGTACTCATGTGAGTCTCTTCACTCGAGCTTTACCGTGATCAACGCTTTGCAAAACTTTCCTAATCAAGAAGGTTTACGTAATAACGGCTTTGGTGAAAGCAAACAGCCAACACATGCAGGCTACAGTTTATTCACTCGAAGAACACGGGAATCAACGGTTTTGTAACTTGCCTATCAATTGCTTGAGTTACGTCACAAATTTTAGGCGAAGGCCAGATGTGGCATCTAAGAAAGAGTCGCACCTTTGCATTCAGAGCGACAACAAACTCCTCCAAGAAGCAGGCTTAGCATAAAATCCTAGACTTTGGAAGGAAAGCGTAGAAATACGTCTACTTGACCTGTTTCTTCATTATAGTTCTCAAGTTTATATTGGCATCGCAGATGCGTGCTACCTCATGTCTATTCAGTTCCCCATTCGAGGCTTACACAATGTTGCTCGGAAGCCGCCTGCACATTTGATGCTTAGTGAAACTCTTCTGAGAGTGATACATGTATTCAGATGGGTAGTCGATGCACCATTTGAGGTCTTGGCTGGTCTCCCGGTTATGGATTGGTGAACGAGTAACTGGATATCAAATGGTTTGACAAAAGCAATGTAACTCAGGAAGGGTCAGTACATGTAGAATTGGATATAGACGTGACTGCGTGTAATAAGGAGACTGCACCAGCATGTTCTATTTCGTATCATCTAAACAAGTGCAGTATGCAGATACAATTACATCACCGGCTAGGTAGTGTTCACCTCACCGGGCCTGTTTAAACTTAAATTGGTCACGTGGTTTCGCGGTGTGCTGCCTGGCGACGCGTCGTGCTTTCCCCGCCCGCTCACAGGCCTCAGAAGGTTCGTTTTTCATGCATTGCGCATCTTTTCCTACTTCACCTGGTTACACTGAACCTGATTCGCCTCCCTTTCTGCGCGAGTGTTTGAAAGTTTCCCGAATTTGCCACCGAGGCGTGAGAGCGCGATCAATTCGTCGCGAGCTATCGCTCGGGATCTCGCAAGGCCAGGGGTAGATCTCGCCCTTCGATCGATGTACATCGACCACGGTCTGAGGTGTCTTTGTCTTTTGCTCCTCCTTCGAGATATTCCATTGTTGCGCTTCATCATCACTTCTGCTGCGCAGCTTCCTTTTGATCCTAATTACCTGCGAACCTGACTGCCGCCCCCACGCTCAGTAATGGCACCCCGACGAACTCGCAAATCAGCTCTGGCGAGCGAGATTGCCTCAGCGACAACAACAGCGTCGATAAACAGTGAGTAGTTGTCTTAATTCTGTCACCTTTACTTTGAACTAGCGTATCGTCCTTCATAGCGGGTTCTTAGAACTAATTCGGCCACAGGACCCTTAGAAGATTTACACATGGCCGA